CTCCCCTTCCTCTTTTCCTCCTTGCCTCTCCAACAGCTCTCTCTCTCCTCTGTTCTCTCTCTTCTTCCGGCTTCCCTTCCCCTTTTCCCACTGATCTCCACCACCTTTCCCTCCCTCAACTTCCCCCCACCCCCGTTCCTGCCCCGCTGGAACAAACCTCCTAAGATACAAAAAAAAATTCTGTATGGTTAAAAATTTCATCCTGTTTCCCTTTCTGCCTTAACCCTCTTCCATTGCCCCTGTTCTGTTACATAAACTGACAGTTGCAACTTCTGACATTTTTCCATTAAAGCAGTGAATTTGTCCTAATTTCACAACTTGTAACTTCCAATTCCTTTTGCTCCCTTGAGCCAGGGTTTACTGCCTCTACCTTTCTTCAACTTTCAAGAGGTAATACTCTTTTTTTATATAACTTACATTACCTTCTCAGCAGTAATTTTTCTTTCTGGTCATAAATACATGTATTCTGTGAGTTTTTTGGCCTCAGATTTTGTTTCTGTCTCCATTTCTTTTGGAAAAGTACAACCTCATCACTTTGTTGTACTAAAGTCACATCACATGTACATTCAAATGACAGAAGTTCAATCTAGACATTGAATTCAGCTGGGCCGAGTGGGTGATATTAATAGCAAGGGCGGTAGTTCTGACAGTCCTTACTGAGCACCATCTATGGGCTGTGTGTCCTAAGGTGGGCACTCGGGCCTGGTAACTCAGGTCACTCTGCTTTCGAGGACAAGTGTCTCTTTGGGATGAAGGAAATTGTAATGTCTAGATATATCTAGATCTTTCTTTTTTTCTCTCTCTCCCTCCTTCCCTCCCTCCCTTCTTTCCTTGCTTCCTCCCTTCTTTCCTTCCTTTCTTCTTTCCTTTATTGCTTTCTGTCTTTTTACAACACTCCCTTAAATTTAAAGAAACAGTTTTATTTGGAATCCAGCTGTAAAACCAGTGGTCCATTGCAGTGCTGGAAGTATGCTTGGCTGTGGGGATGTATTCAGCCATTTTGTGCCTATCTCCATGGCTACCTTTATGCAAACATTTCAAGAATAATTTTTAAAAACTAACATTTAGGGCCCAGCAGCATGGCCTAGCAGCTTAAGTCCTCACCTTGAACACGCCAGGATCCCATATGGGCGCCGGTTCTAATCCCGGCAGCTCCACTTCCCATCCAGCTCCCTGCTTGTGGCCTGGGAAAACAGTTGAGGATGGCCCAAAGCCTTGGGATCCTGCACCCGCGTGGGAGAACCAGAAGTTCCCGGCTCCTGGCTTCGGATCGGCACAGCACTGGCCGTTGCATTCACTTGGGGAGTGAATCATTGGACAGAAGATCTTCCTCCCTGTCTCTCCTCTTCTCTGTATATCTGACTTTGTAATATTAATAAATAAATCTTTTTAAAAAACCTAACATTTAAAAGAATAGGCCTGTTTTATAACCTTACATTAGTAAGATACAGCTCTCTTATTTTCCCTTAGGAAGATTTCCCAGGCTCTGCAGGAATGTGTTTGAATCAATGCGTGTATTTCAGGCTCCCGTGAATCCCCAAATTCCCCTTCCTTTCCTGCCTTACTCCATGTTCTCAGTGTGTTCCAAGTTAAATTCATCTTAGATTTGCCTTCCTGCATCTACCAAATTAGCATTTATTAGCTTCCCAGGTTCTCCACAATGTCTCTTTTCTCAGGTGTCCTGGCCTAATGGTCTTGTTCTGCTTCTTATGATGTGCCTTGCTCCCTGGCCCCCACAGAACAAGCACAGTTACTGCTTTGTTGGATTGGGTGTGAGTGTACCAAGACTGTTGATTTTTTTCTGTCTTTCTAAAAGCAATCCTGCTTGCATTTTTTAGTTTAAGTGCTCCCAGGATTTCAAGTTTGTTTGTTTCTGCTTCCTGGTACAAATTGTGTTGTTGCCTGCACATAGAATGTCTTCTTCTTGTCTTCAGAATTATCTTTAATTTACCATTATATCTGTACTTTGAAGTTTTTATTGAAGTTGTTTGTTTATCCAACCTTCTGGCTTTCTGGGAAGCTTTTTAAATTTTCTTAACACACATTATCACCTTCATTTTTTTTTAAAGATTTATTTTTATTATTTTTTATTGGAAAGGCGGATATACAGAGAGGAGAGACAGAGAGGAAGATCTTCCATCCGATGATTCACTCCCCAAGTGAGCGCAACGGGCCGATACTATGCCGATCCGAAGCCAGGAGCCTCTTCCGGGTCTCCCACGCGGGTGCAGGGTCCCAAAGCTTTGGGCCGTCCTTGACTGCTTTCCCGGGCCACAGGCAGGGAGCTGGAAGGGAAGCAGGGCTGCCGGGATTAGAACCGGCACCCATATGGGATCCCGGGCGTGCAAGGCGAGGACCTTAACCACTGCGCCACTACGCCACTGCGCCACTGCGCCACTGCGCCGGGCCCGATCACCTTCATTTTTTTTGCTTCCTTTTCATTAGCAATATTTCTCCATCCCATTTCTGCGTTTCAGATTCAATTTTGTGTTTGCCTAAGCACTGTACTGCTTTTTAAAAAACATATGCTAAATATATCATCATATTTAATTATGTTTAATCCTCAGCACAATCTGCAACATAAGTATATTGCAATTTAGACATGTAGGAGTTCCTCAGTATCTGAACGCGCACTAGGATTTGTTCTGCTGAAGCCATTTGGATATTTATAACACCATTCATGAGCCTACAAAATTATTAACTTAAAAACTAGCTTAATATAGATTTTTTGAACTTCACATCCCATCTGTGGTTGCCTTGGCAGAACCAATAAGACCCACAGGCCGGACATTATCCACCCCTGATCCAAAGAATGCTTGAGAAGCGAAAGTTTCCAAGCAAGAGTACATTGCCTGTTAAACTGACAATTGTAAAGTTAGGCTCTGTTCACCAACTCTGACTGATTAGTTTTGGCTGTTTCCTAAATTTCATCTCTATATCCTTCTCTTCATTCTTGCTAATACAATGTAACTACAGCACAAACTAAGTCAAAATAATAAACTTTGTACAATGTGAACAATGTTAACTGTTAAAGTGCGTGGAAAGTTCAGTCACCTAAATAATTGTTGCAGATGTCTATCTGGCAGGGTAAAGAGTTGAAGAAAAAAGATGATAATTCATAGGCACGTGCTTAAAAGAGGAATCATTCAAACAGAATATTGAAACCTTCAAAATGAAGTCCCCAGTTTCATGACCATGTTGTAAATTTCAGAGCCCGAAGATTTACATCAGTATATGATGAAAAAAAACGCATGCCAAAAAAAAAATAATAAGGCATACTAACTGAATGATTTTGTTCTTTTTTGAGATGTTATGTATTTATTTGAAAGGCAAAAGCAGCAAAGTGAAAGAAACAGAGAAATCTTCCATCAGACAGACACATCTTTCATGCGCTGGTACACTCCCCAAATGCCTGCCACAGCCAGGTCTGGGCCAGGCCAAAGCCAGGAGCCAAGATTCCATCCTGGTTTCCCATGTGGGTGGTGGAGGCCCAAGCACTTGGGACATTTTCCACTGCTGTCCTAACAAGAAGCCAGATCAGAAGTGAACCAGCCAGGATTGAGAATGGTGCTTAGATGAGGGATGCAGGCCTATCCAACGGCAGCTTCCCCAAGCACACCACAACACCAGCCCCCATCTCTTGTGATGAACTAATTTTCATCTATTTTATTTTCATATTTTAAATTAACTCGGAATCAGCCTTTATTTTTTCACTATGTACTGTGAAAACTACTGTGAAGATTTGTGCCTGACTGAAAGACAAGAGAACTACTGTTAGTTCACTTCCCAGTGGCTGCAACAGCCTGCCAAAGTCAGACAAGTCAAGCAGGTCCTCCTGGGTGACCTGGAGGCAATGACACAGACCTTCAGTGCTTGCCTCTCAGTGCTGCAAGAAGCCAGGTCCGGGACAAGAGCCCCAGGTCAGACCCAGGCACTTGGACACGAGATGAGAATCTCCTGAAGACTCATGTTAATATTTTAAACTTTGGCTAGTTTCTTTAATTTGTGAAGTGTGTCTCATAATTTTTTTTCTATTTTCTCTCTCTTTTCTCCTTGTTACTATTGTTCCTTTGCCTCATTGCCAAAATCCTAATCTTGACAATTATCTGCCTTCCACCACCTTCCCTGCCTTTCTGTCCAATTTTAATTTCATCTGGGCTTCAGCAATTTCTTGCTTAGGTTTTTCCTTCTTTCACTCTGTCCTTTTTCTTTAATGAAATATTTCTTAACTTTGAATTTTTGGTTTTACTTCTTCACAAATGCTCACTTCTACCTCTTCACTCATGGTGTAAAAGTTGGCATTCCCCAGAACATTTGTGTCCTGTAGAAGCCTTTTGTGTAGCCCAGTATTGCACAAAGCCACTTCCCCTTGGCAACTCCTTCCACAAACCTCTAAGTGCGGGCATACTTACTTCTATACCCCTGTGCCCCCATCCTTAAGTTTATTAGGTCAACTGGTATATACTAATAAAATCTGTTTAGGTATTTGCTATTGTGCTATAATAATAATAAAATCCTAAGCCTGGGAATTGTTCTTATCAACAACATTGATAGGTTTGGGGAGAAAAAAATGTATTGTCAGCAGGTCACTTTTCTGCTTCAGAAATTGAAAGAGAAAAAGTTTAGATATGGAGATGCATTCTAAAGAAAATATTCTTAAATGTTTAAAACTAAGTTAAAGTTGCTGTCTATGGTGTGTGAGAGGAACATTGTGGTCAGAAAATGGGCTACAGATTTTCTCAGGTTTTTTAAAATCTGTGGTCAGCATAAATACTTATGTTGTTTACTCTCCCAAGTCAATATCCATTTCATTGTCTTTGTGGGGTAAAAGCTAACTCAGAATATATATATATTTTTAATCCTTCTGAAAATGAAATCTTCGTAATTGGACTTTTAGTAGTCTCATGTCTGTGATGTGGTGAAAAGTTAAAAAAAAAAAACACTTTGGTAAAATGTCTGTCTTCATATCCTCATTAGGAAACTTCTCTTTAATTTTGTAGTCAAATCAGAAAATTAATGCCCGTTGGACCACAGAGGAGCAACTTCTAGCAGTGCAAGGTATATTAAAGATAAGCAGTTATTGTTGTTACTAATGATTGAACTTGTCATGAAAGATGACGACCGTAGTTCTTCCCTTTGTTTAGAAGTGGATCAAGAAAGGGCTCTCCTGTTCACCCCACAGGCCCCAGGGACCAGGATCGGGCTGTGTGTGGATGGGATCGACTGCTGAGCCTGATGTGCCTTTGGGGGTCCCGAACAGCACGTCGTGCCTTCTCAGCACCAGATCACTGGTGGTGATGGCAGCACGACCCAGCTCCATGGGCTCACAGTGCCTGTCTCCTGATGTTGGGTTCATTCCTACCATATTGCACATTGATCAGAGTCAAAAGCACAAGTATATGATAATACTGTGATACTTTCTGGTTTCTCCACTTTGTGTAACAGTGTTTCTGCTTTGGCAAATGTCAGGTACTGAAAATTTAACTTAGTCAATACTTGGTTTCCCAGAGATGTAGCACTGAATGCTTAGGAACCTGACTATATTTTTGAAAAGAAACTTAAGATTCACATTGAAAGATATGCAAACAGCACTTTAAATGCATCATTTATAAGAATCCTTTGTTGAGTTATCTGGCAAAAGATATTTTGTATTCTGAATACCCAAAATAAGTAGACAACTTGGAAGCATTCTAGATTCTGATATTTTTTTTTACACATCTGAATGTTTTGAAGAAAGACAAATTGTATATTCAGGGTTGTGGTTTTTTTTTTTTTCTCAAACTATCAGCAAGGCTGATTTTGTAACAAAGTGTAGTCTCAACTTTTTTTGATGTTGTTTCTTGACTGAGTGCTCTTTGTGTTAAGTACCAATAGCTTTTAAAAATTGGATTTATGTATTTGATTTATTTGAGAGATAGAGGAACAGATTGATTTCCCAAATGCTGGTTCATTCCTGCATGTCTGCAGCAGCTAAGGGCAGACCAGGCTGCTGCCAGGAGCCGGAGCTGTGTCTTCTACACAGGTGAAAGGTCCCCATTGTCTTGAGCCATCACCGGTTGCCTCCTACAGTGTATATTAATAAGAATATTATTAATATATATGGCACTGTAATGTGGGATGTGGGACCCCAAACAATGTCTTTATGGCTACCAACTATTAGCTTTTTTTCAAGATTAACAATTCTGAGACAGGAGGGAGGCCCTAGTAAAATATCTGAACACGCTTTTGAAAATATTTTCAAATATTCATTAAGAAATGTTAGTACAAACAATAGGAAGAAGCCTTATTCACTTTTGCAAATAAAAGTGGCTGATAGAATAATTCTCATAAATGGTTGATAGATGGCTCTGTAAGTTTTTATTTTGTTTTGTCTTGAAGATTGATTTATTTCTATTTGAAAGCCAGATTTAAGAGAGAAGCAAAGACAGAGCAAGATCTTCTCATCTTCTGTTTCACTCCTCAAATGGCCACAATGACCAGAGCCGGGCCAGTCCAAAACCAGTAGCTTGGAGCTTGTTCTGGGGCTCCCACTTGAACCATCTTCTCTACTGCTTTTCCAGGCACAATAGCAAAGAGCCAGATTGGAAGCAGAGCAGCTGGGACTTGAACCAGTACCCATATGGAATACTGGTGCATAACACATGGAGGCTTAACTTACTATGTCATGACACTGGCCACAGTTCTGCAGTTTAAAGAAAATAAGATTTAGCTGGTTATCAAGCTTTCAAAATACCATAGGAAGGTGCCAGCAGGATGTTAATCTTTCTCTTGTGCTCTTAGAGCATAATACAGTCGTTTCATACAGGGAAATGCTTGATACTATATAGGCAAGGTCCACCTTTGTAGAACTAAGTTTCTGAGTAAATCAGAACAAAATTGTCGATTTATAGCGTAAGTTAATGTTAAAATTGGACTATGGTGCATTTAACCTTTGTTTTAAAATTAGGATTGTCAGTAATTGCTTCCTACTCATTTAGAGCTGCTGCTTGTAGTGCTAACATGGCTATTTGGAGTAGGTATTACTCCTGTTTGTGTAGAGCCTGTGTCTTCTTCCATCCTAATAGAGATCCTGCCAAGACTTGAGCTCTGGTTTGCAGTAAGCAGTTGGTTAAGGGTTAGTGTATTCAACCTGGACTCTAATGTAATGAGTTACCCAATGAAAGGGTTAGCTGAAGAGCAACTTGGATACTGGGCAACTGTTCTGTCTACAGCATTAAGGGTCAGTTCTACAGTTTTTCCTGTGACTCTTAGGGTCTGGTTGGGTATGATACAAAGCTGTAGGCAGAGGAAAAGTAGTGTTAAGATTTGTGCTTTGAGCTTGAGTTACAAATGTGACATAACTTATAAATATTAAGATTAAAAATAGAATATTAATACATAGAACCAAATATTTCTTCTAAAGTAAAGCATGTTATATACATTTATAAGAAATCCCTTAAATAAGTCACACTGGTAGCAGTTTGTATGGCAGTATGCATGATGTCCTGACAGCATTTCAAAGGCGCTTTCTTAGTAATACATTCGTGTCTTATTTATTTTGATTATTTGGATTTTTTTTTCCTTTTGAGGATTTTCATTTTGTTATTCTTCCATAAAATAAAAATATAAAGATAATTGTGTCCAAGATAGTTATTTTAGAATTACAAGATGCCATTTGGTTTCATGTTTATATAATGCTCAGAAGTGATTCTTACAATCACTATAACTGTATTGACATGTCACCTGTGCCCAAGAGCCAACATGGTTAAAAGTTCGTAATTGCAGTGCCTGCTTTAACATGTGTAATTGTTTCTCCAGAAGTAAGACTCTTAGAGGGCAAAGATTTTTTTGTTCTTTTTCAATTCTTTCTTTATGGCACACCCTTATGTGGTATTGTTCTAATGCACATTATTACAAGATAATAATAAGTCATATTTTGATACATGTTTTAACTTGTATAGCACATTACATTAACACATTTTAGCCATATTCTGATTTGCCTTTCCTTTATTGAATGCCCTATTTTTTCTTGCTCGTAATAGAGTATTACAGTGTCCTGGAGAAAGAAGTCATGGCCTAGTGACAGTTGAGCTTCACAAGTACGTTTTGTGTTGTAACTCTTTTAAAACCGAATGAACCTATCAAGATCATTTCCTGTCCCAGGGCCTAAACTTTTCTATCCCATCTACTCATGTTGTTTACTACATGCTAAGCATTTAAGTACCCATTTTCCTCTCTTTCTTACGTGGAAGGAGGAAAAATTGTACTCGGATCAAATAAGAATGTCTTTATATTTTGTAATTTAACGCTTTATGTTAATTGTTCTTCTGTCTATATTATAATTTCAGTAACATTCTTCAAGTGGGACATCATCAATGCAACTAGTTTAATCCTCTTAAAATATTTACCAAAGAATGGTACTTGACTTCTGTCGTAACAAGCTAGGTAAAAGTGAAGCCAAGTATTACCTTCATGTATTTGTGTTGATAGTACCATATCATCCTGTTTGTAGCTTGTCATATGTAAAATTTTGCTCATCTACATGCTTTTGCAAGTTAGCCTAAGATCATAATCAAATAAGGAACATTCTTTGTTGAGCAAGAAAAGAAAGGAGTTGGATTCTAGGTATGTGTCTTGTTTTTCTCATGTAAAATAGAACAGTTATTAACTGTTTTAATAGAAATACCTTTAAATGTCAGAACAGAACACTCTTTAAGTGTATAGAGGGCAGAAGCATGGTTTGTAATATTTGTCATTCTTAGTTTCCCTCTTAAATGTATTTGTTTCTCAGCCACTGATACTAAAAAACCCCAGTATGTTCCCTAACTAAAATCTGCATTAAAGCCAAACAAAATAGGTTTTCTGTCTTTATAAAGACATCAAACTTTAATTTGCTTTTTTGTTTGTTTTTTTAAAAAAGATTTATTTATTCTTATTACAAAGTCAGATATACTGAGAGGAGGAGAGGCAGAGAGGAAGATCTTCCATCTGATGATTCATTCCCCAAGTGAGCGCAACAGCCAGTGGTATGCCAATCCGAAGCCGGGAACCAGGAACTTCTTCCGGGTCTCCCACATGGGTGCAGGGTCCCAAGGCTTTGGGCGTCCTCGACTGCTTTCCCAGGCCATAAGCAGGGAGCTGGATGGTAAGTGGAGCTGCCAGGATTAGAATTGGTCCCTATATGGGATCCCGGTGCATTCAAGGTGAGGACTTTAGCCGCAAGGCCATGCCGCTGGGCCCAAAATTTGTTTTGTTCTTGTTACCGCCATCTCACACAACACAAAATGGTAGAAATGTAGTAGGTTATGCTTGCATATAGTAAAATGTGTCTGTAGTTTACATTCATTGCTTTAAGAGAAATTAAGTTGCAGGTCTAGAAATTGCCCTCTTTTTAGTTTTGTCAAATACTAAGCAAACAAACTAGAATGGCTAGGGAGATTCTGCCTTTGCATCTGGAAGGCAGCCTTTTGCTCTGGAGTTCTTCTATTTTAACTGACGGCCATAAGAATGGAGGTAAGAGTATAACCCTCAGCCCTCTGGTCCACTTACTTCAAATAATTAGCAATTCAATATTTCCAGGGTTTTGTAATGAAATTTAACTTAGTCAAGTAGAGAATGTAAGACCCAGAAGGGAGAGGGTGTATACTGGAAAGAGAATACATGGCTCTGATGTAGTCCTCACCTTTGTGCACCATTTACTGTCCACTGGAATTGATATCTTTCTACCACTTGATATTTCTTCTTTGAGAGACAGAGCTCCCGTCCACAGACTTGCTCCCTAAATGACTAGAGCAGTGAGGACTAAGGACCTGGCTGTTGGAGCCATCTCTGCGTACTGCCAGGGTACTCATTAGCAGGAAGCTAAAATCAGGAGAGGGAGCCAGAACTCAAACCCAGACATTCCAGAAGACGGGCATCCTGGCCAGCAGGCTCACTATTGGGCCAAATACCTGTCCCAGTATCTTCCTACTTTTAATGCTGAATTACTGAAGAGATTTACATGGGCTGAAAAAATGTTTATCTCCAAATGGTTTTTCATGTCTTATTGATTGAATCACATTCCTGTTTCAAAAGTAGAGCTTGAAAGAACTAATATTTCCTAATTATGCTAAAATGCATCCTAACTTGAGGAAATATCTATATAAAGGGCAGGAAAAGAATACCTTGAGGTTTTATGTTCATATTTTGCCCTTCTTCATAGTGCATAAAGTTCAAAATGATGCATTAAACCAACTTCACAAATTCACAATCTCTGATAGTTTAGTGCCTATGGTAAAATCCTTCCATTTGATACAAAATATTTCATTGAACAATTTAGACATATAAATTAAAAAGTGTAAGCAAGAATACAAATGGATGTTTTATATCAGGCAGTGTAGAACACTGGTTGGAAAATGTGGTCTTTCATAGGCCACAGCAACAGAAGACCATACTGAGTTACAGTTTTGTGTTCCCAAATAAACTTTAAATGTAAATATTGTTAAAGATGGTATCATCTGCAAGCATAGAAATCCAAAGTATGTCATTATAACTTTTGAATTAAATTTAGATATTTGAAAAACAATTTTTACCTTTCCCTGTGAGATTTATGATTTGCCTCTTCCAGGGTTGTCTGAATGGTTATTCCCTAATCCCTAAAAATTGATCTCTTGCCCTACAGTTGAGCCTTTAATTTAGCAACTATTACACCTGAGCCTTTAACTTCCTCAGGAAGAAACTAATCCAATCACAATATTTAATTTTCTTGCTGGAAAAGGCTATCAGATTGCAATGCTTATTATAAACTATTTAAAAAATGGACCGCCTTTCCCTCCAGGTACAGATTAAAAATAAGGTTGCTATGATGCTGTCAGTTCTTCAAGCTAGCTGTTTCCTCTGCCTGCCCCACTGCCCATCCTCCAGAAGCCAGGCTGGACAGTCTCCTGAAGGAAAAGTTCCATTCAGTAGCATTTCACTGGAGCTTAGCTGCCTGCTAGTCTAGCGTCAAGCTTAAGGATCATTGTGTTCTAACCCAAACACGCTGTGACACTGGGGATGGAAGGTGATAAAGAAATCTGCCATATACACCTGTGTGATTATAGGAAGAAAAATCAGAGTTGCCGAGAACTTCATAGGTTGTGTTTGTGCTGGTGTTGATGGATATCTTTTTTAACATGCTATGCAGAGAAAATTAGGAAACTTGTCACAGTGCATTGGAGCAAGCAGATTAGGTTGCTCTTGTCCAGGAGGGCCTGCCAAGGAACTCAGCTACCCAAGATCCTGTGAGGCAGCCTGAAGGCTCAGGGGATTCCTACCTGGGCACAGCTCTTTGCAGGACACTCGTTGGTGTCCTCAGCAGTAGGACAGGCTACTGTGGAGCTCTGAGCCTTGATGACTCCACACTGGCATCCATGAGTTAACAATAACATTGCTGGGTGGCAGTCAAAGTCCCAAGGAAAACTAGAGTGCTCATGAGAAATCATTTTGAGTTAGAATCTATAATTTTTGAAAATGTTAGAATACTGATAACAAGGTAAAAATCCATTTAGCTAGAGAAAATTAAGAAGTAAGAAGGTAAAAGAAGGAACAGTTACATATTGGATCAGACTTGGGGACAACTTAGGGTTTGGAAAGATATTTTCAAAGGCATATGTCCTGAGGGTTATTCTGACTTCAGATCTAGAGTGTGACCTCTTACTAGGATCTAATCCCAGACTTAATTAAAATTTTAATTTTAAACTCATGTATTCAGTAGATTGGGGGCATTTTTAGAATTTGAATTAAATATCCCAGTGCAGAAATCGGTACACAGTAGAATGCTGTCTGGTTTGTCGTTTTTTTCAGTGCAGCAGTTTCAGACTTAGAAATGGCACAGACATAACTCTTTTGTGTGTTAACGTTTTCTTTATAGATAAGTTGTCTTTTATTTACTGAAAAGGTGGAACAACAGAGAGCCAAGTCCCCATCCACTGGTCCACTCCCCAGATGTCCACAGTGACCAGGCCTGCGTCAGCCTGAATCCAGGATCCCAGATCTCCCATGTGGGCGACAGGGACCCAGGCATTTGCAGCAGCATCTGCTGCCTTCCAAGATAGATTAGCTGACAGCTATATTGGAAGCCTTGTACCAATACTCCAGTATGGAATGTGGGTATTACAAGTGCCAGTTTAGCCTGCTGTGCTATAGTGGCCATCCCAAGACTAGTATTATCTGGAAATATAAGTAGTAGAAAAATGCTTAAATATCTAACAGGAACGCCTATGAAATAATTTTAGCATTGTATTGCCAAATTAACCCTTACTGGAATATAGAGACAACGTATACTTTAAAGTTCAAACTGGAGACCAGTTCATGAATACAAACCATTGCAAACAATGTCTTTTGCTTTGTTGTCTTGCATGTCTTTTGAAGACAGAGCAAATGGATAAAACTTATGAATACCAAACTACATAAAGAAATAAAATATGATCATAGGGTTATAGTTTTGGACCTCCTGTCCAAAAGCCTCTAAGATAAAGGAACTCCCCATAATTGAACTTATTTGTAATCAGAAATACCTGTTTCCAAATTCCCATTTTAAACTAAGGACAGAATTAGCTGTTTAATAGTATTTTTTAAAACAAATTATAAAATGAAAATGTCTCACAACTTTCTGTTTTGCCCTAAGTACATTTCTTCCTAGAACGAATTGGTGAACTTCTTTTCACATTCTCTGCAGTGAAAATTGCTCATTTTAAATTCTGTAGCATAATTGATAGTCTTAACTTCATTAACCATGATCCTTCATTTACAATGCCATCTCTGTGAAAATTTAGAATTTCAAATAACCATTCTTAAGATGGTGTGCACAAGTGCTGTTTGAATGGTCACTACTCTCCCCTTATTCTTAAGGCAGTGAAGCATAGCTCAGGTCTGTTGGAGTTTAAATACCCAAATGACTGAAAAAAAACCTTCCCAGTTTTGATCCTTCAGACTGTAGAGATTCTCCTGCTTTTTACATGAAAATTCTTATTTCTGTGTGTTGGTAACCTGGTGGGTAGGCAAGAACTCATGTTGAAGTTAGTATTAAGACCAAAATTGGACTGCTTTTCTTAATGGGGGAGCTCTAAGGCTACTCGCTCAGACCATTGAGGGGATAAGAGAGATGGCTCATTCCCATCCAGTTTTGTTTACAAACGGTGTTGCTCAAATTTAGGTGACTGGCTACTAGGGAAATAAATGAATATGGAATTGAGGATGGAACAAAGAATTCAAAGCTTTACAATAATGGACTGTATTTGAGAGTTCCAGAAAGGATTGGAGAGAATAACTGAGTATGTAAAAACATGGTAAGTTTCTGATTGTTCAGCTGAAGGCAAGTGACGGGCTCAATAAAATGACATAATTGATAGTGTTCGTCTGTGATCCTGATGTCTTAGCCTGCATCTCAGAAGTGAGCAGATTATCAGAAAGGATTTTCACTGCTGCTATCTTGTGTGTGTGCATGATGTGTAGTACACACGGCTCTCCTTACTGATCCTTCACAGGTGTATTATTTACTTTGCCTTCCAGGTGTCCGCAAATATGGTAAAGATTTTCAAGCTATTGCAGATGTAATTGGCAACAAGACTGTTGGCCAAGTGAAGAACTTCTTTGTAAACTACAGGCGTCGGTTTAACTTAGAGGAGGTATTGCAGGAGTGGGAAGCAGAACAAGGAACCCAGGCTTCTAATGGTGATGCTTCTGCTTTAGGGGAGGAGACAAAAAGTGCTTCTAATGTGCCATCAGGGAAGAGCACTGATGAAGAAGAGGAGGTGTGTTTGTGTATGGAATTTATGAGCTGAGGAATGACCATTCTGTGTGGTATTCTCTAAGGCTAATGTGTCAGAGGACTAGCTAAATGAGCATGAAAGGTTGACAATACACTTCGTGGTGCGTCTCGTGACTCTTAAGTCATAATGACACGCTAATTTCTGATCCTGGCAGAATGGAGAGTGTATTGTTCTTTCATCATAGTCTTACTTTTATTTCCAGTATTAAGCTGTTTACTAATAAAGATGCCTGTTTGGTAGCCTCATTGCTTTCTCAGTTGTTTTTTTTTCTTTTGTTTTTTGTTTTGTTTTGTTTAAAATAAAAGAAGCTTGTGCTTCCAATAAACACTGGTGTTATGTTTTTGTTTTGTTTTGATTTGTTTTTCCTGTGACAGCCCGAACTATATTGTGTGAAGTACATTAGGATTGACATCTCATACCTGTATTTTTGTTTCCTCACCTCTAGGCACAGACGCCACAGGCTCCTCGGACTCTGGGTCCATCACCTCCTGCCCCATCATCCACTCCAACACCAACAGCCCCCATTGCCACTCTGAACCAGCCTCCACCTCTTCTTCGTCCAACACTGCCTGCCGCCCCCGCTCTTCACCGGCAGCCTCCTCCACTCCAGCAGCAGGCCCGGTTCATCCAGCCGCGGCCAACTTTAAATCAGCCTCCACCACCTCTCATTCGCCCTGCTAATTCTATGCCGCCCCGTCTAAACCCAAGACCGGTGTTGTCCACAGTAGGTGGTCAGCAGCCACCATCACTTATTGGAATTCAGACAGATTCACAGTCCTCACTGCACTAAAGATTAATTGGACAAAGCTGCAGTCACTCTCCACCCCATCATTACACCAGTGCTCATCTGGCTGATGCAAGAGAGCTAACACTCTTCCTAGATCCCGAGGCTGCGGACTAGTTCTATGGCAGGTGCACTAGATGAAAAGGTTACTCGGCCGAAAGCCTTCCGTTAGCCTCCCTGCTGGGGTGTGTGTGTGTCCACCAATGTGAACACGCGTGAAAGGAGGAAAAAAGTATTCTGTAGACCACGGGGTTTTATTTTGTTTTTACTGTATTTATTGAGGTTTGTCACATTCTTGCCTCTTCATAGTCAAGGCTCTTAGGACAGGAACATTGACTTAGGAGTTATGAAAGTTTCTTAAGGATATTTGGCGCTTTTTTAATTTAATTTTTAAAAACATTTTCCTATGTTAGGAGAGCAAGAATAAATAGCCTGCATTTCAGATTTTGGCATTTGTTTTATGCATATTTAACTATAGCTACATATCCCTTTTTCTTTTTTTTTTTTTTCCAAAAAAATGCTTTTTTTCTTAAAGGAATTTAAATACATTCCTTTAAAAGAAAGCAATTTAATCAATTGCAAAGCAATTGTATGAAACCACAAAGAATGTACTGAATCCACTGACCCTTTAACGTGCAGTGTAGGGTCCGAGTGAAAAGTCCTTGTTTAAAGGTCATTGGCCCTTCATCTATCAGTGATAAGAGGATTGGAATAATGCTTTTACACACCAATGAGAACTCAATGTGTTGAAATAGAATGTCTTTAAGTTCCTTGAAAGAGTTACTTTGGAATTTTTTTAAATGTTTTCTAAATGATAATCTGCTTTTAACTAGTAGTTGCCTACATTTGAGGACATTAGAGTTATTATATTTTGTCAGTTATGTAGCAATGATGGTTATGGAAACATTTATTTACAGTACTTTTTTATGTTTTAGATTCTGAACTTAAAATTACCCTCATGCTTATTAAAATGATCTGCATTTAATATGAAGGGTGTTTTCTTGATAAATCTATTTTACTGTTTGGATACATTTCTGTATTCCTTGTAGCCAGCCTGTACTTTTGGGTTTGGTTTAGGGTTAACTCATCAACATTATTCCATAAAATAAATTTAAGAATCTGTTATCTGACATGTATCAGCATATTGACACACTTGTCCTGCTAATGCAAAATGCAAGGCCCCTTTTTATTAAGAAACAGGTGTTTCAAGACTTCTTAATTCAACACATGACCAACCATTAAATACCAACAAAAAGTATTTTGTAAGTGATATTTCAACAATGTGTTACTAATATTTTTTATATTTTATGATTGATGATTAATTTCGTATTAGAATCATGATTTATGCAGAGATCAGTTGGCTTGCCTTACTACTGGATAGAAGGCTGAATGTTTGCACATTCACATTCTCGTCAGAACTGCTTTGTGAACGAGTCATCATCTAAAACCCTAATTCAGTGTATCTGAGAGATCATACATTCCCAACTGTCGTGGAAACTGGTCACCATTGGCTCAATAGCTTTAAAGAGCTGTAGATTCAGTTCACTGATGAGCTGTAGTTTTCAAGATCTTCCTTCCAAATGGACCTCAAGTTCTGGCATAATCTAAAACATGACCAGGGTGGGTCCTGGGCCTTTCCGTTCTCATCTGATCATCCTAAATGGTTCCCACCCTGGATTAAAACCAGATGAAATATAAGGATTAAAATTAATAATATTCAAGAATTTATACTTATTTTTCCTTTAAAGGCCACAAGAGACATTGGCATATCTTAAAATATTTAAAGCATTTTTTTGAAGCACTTAGATTGTCTTGCATTGTGCAAACTATATCTTTACAGCTTTTAATGTCTTGTCTCTTGTCAGTAGACCTTCAGTACACAGTACGTGGAATGTCAGGTTGGTCAGCACCAGCATCTCGGACAGCTAATCAGGACGTTGTGATTCATTTAAAAATCTTTTCTATCCCAGACATGGGCCAAGGTGCTGCATCTGAAGGGTGTGCTGTCACTTGGTTTACGTATGTCAGAGCACACAGTAGAAAAACCTTAGCTTCATTAGGAATATGACACATGTATATAGTGAGATGTCTTTATTGTGTGCTTTACATATTTTGTAAATATTTTGCACGTCATTATTTTACTTTTTGTTTAAGCAGTGTTTGGCCTGAAAGATTGAAATGCTTGCTGCTTATCAAAGGATTAAAGATTTAACGATGTCTATGTCTTCTATTTTATATAATTTCATGTTGTGTGAGTAACTTAGGACCTCCTCGCTGTGAAAAATCTAGATATTTCATAAGAAAGCAAAAGCTAGAAATGTTTCAATGATCACTTTGATCGGTTTCAGGGTTAGTTTCTAAGAAATCTGCACTGGCCTTATTATATAACAAATCCCTGATAATGCATCTGGTAAAATTATATTTTTATTCCAGTATAATATGGATGAGGTAAAGGTAAGTTACTGATCAAAACTTGTCCTTAATCAGTTTACATCAAAGGAGTGAAGTAGAATATAAAATAAAGGAAGGAATATAAAATTTGTCCTAACATAGACCTGCATTCTTTTTTCGGAACAGATAAAGAACAATCTAAAAACTGAGTAGTTGTTATTAACAAGAAAAAAAAAAGCATTAAGAATGTTGCAAACACTTTGTTTAAAATGCAAAATGATTAAATAAGCTGTGTTAATTTAATGTTCATTCCTGTTATCAAAAGAATATTATCCATAAGTATTCATAGCTAGCTAGTTAATATGGGTGTCAAAGTCTCAAAAAGAATAATCTTGGAATTCCTCAAATGGTCAGGCTAGGCAAGCTAAAACCAGGAGCCAGGATCTCCCATCGGAGCTCACATGGATGAGAGGAACTGTCTGCCTTCCCCGGCACATTAGCAGGGAACCAGCTAGGAAATGGAGCAGCTGAGATTTGAACCAGTGCCCATAAGGGATGTCTGCTGTGCCACAACACCAGCTTCTTTCCTGTGCACTTCAATGTTCAGTGTACAAACAAGGAGTTTTTCTCGAGGCGTTTGTCTAGCTCAGTTACCAACCAGCTCTCTTGTTTGACATGAGCTGGCTTGAAGACAGCTTCACCCCCAAGACCACATTTGTTGACGTGCTGGCTGTTCAACTTATCCCAAAATTGGGAGACAGGATCACTGAAGGCCTTTGTTATTGGGCTCGGGAAATAACAAAATAGTTGCCCTAAAAAAAAAATTTTTTTTTTTAAATAATTGATGTTCTTGCTCCCTGCTAATGGCCCAGAATGCCATCAGGTGGCACAAGTTCTTGGGTCACTGCACCCACATCTAAGACCCACATAAGATGAAACTCGACTTCGTACCTGTTGAAGCCATTTTGGGACTGAAACAGCACATGGAAAATGTCTCTTTTTTTGTCTCTGCCTCTCTTCTATAACTGCATTTCAAATAAAATCTTTTTTTAAAGGTTGCTGTACTTACTTATTTGAAAGGGTTACAGAGAGGGAGACAAAGATCTAGCATCCATTGGGTCATTCCTCAGATGACCTCAACAGCTGGGGCTGAGCCGGGCTGAAACTAGGAGCCAGGAGCTTCATCTGGGTGCTCCACATGGGTGCAGGGATCCAAGGACGTGGCCATCTGCTGCTGCTTTTCAAGGCCATGAGCAGGGAGCTGGATGGGAATGGGAGCAGCTGGGGCTCCAACTCTAACCCACTATGGGATGCTGGGGTCAGGTGGCAACTGGACTTGCCACAAACTTTCATTTGATGAGTCTGTTCCACCTGACTAAACAACTTCTCTGAGCCTCAGCTTTGTAAAATTAATAAACTAGGAGTACATCTTCCCACTGAATGCTGGAAGCCTTTGTCCCTGTAACATCATCACCTTCCTAATAACTGTGTGTTTTGACATACTTCAGAAGATTTAAAGGGTAGTACAAAAAAATAAAAGTTGAATTCCAGTTCAAAAAGACAAACTGAACATTTACTTGTTTCATTCCCTCCACAAACTGCTGAAGTATTAGAGTGTAAAAATGGAAACAGTCCTTTTAACACCATACAGACAAAAGGCAGAAAGGAAACTTAAAAGGATGCCATAATAACTGATAGAGGATGTGGGTGTGGAGCGCCCGGTGGTTTCTACTTCCTGGTATTCATGCACTTGTGAGCTGCCCAGATTCCTAACCACCAGGGCGACAGGTTGGCACTTCTGCGATCATGTCCTATGGCTTCATGACTTCTGTCCTGCCAGCAGACTCGGCCTTCTTTGCAGGCTTTGGGAAGCAGGCTTTCTGGTGCCACCCAGCCAAGAGCTCAGGCCTGTGATTCAGCAACCTGCCAGGTACTGAATCCCGCCAACAACACGTGGAAATCCATCCTTCCCCAGTCAGGCCCTGTGATGCCTGGAGCCCACATCCACTATGACTGCATGCAGCCCCTGAGAGACCCTGGAGGGAGAACTCAGTTAACTTGTATCCAGGCACCTTACAGGAACTAAGCTGCTCAGGTGTAGGTGATCTGTTATACAACACTAGAACATGTGAACACAATCAAAAGAAATGTGTAATTATACTAACATCAAAGATTTCAAAACAATATCAGGAATAAAACTGTTCACTGAGTAGTGATAAGTGAGTTCATCAAGATCCCCAACAGAAACGCAAAAAGGAACGGGCAAGTTCACTATCAGTCGGTGACACCGACACTCATCTCTCCGTGACTGGGTACAGCGCGTAAACCAGAAATCGGTAAGAAAAAAAAAGGCTTGGAAATGCTCATAACCACTTTTCCTCCTTTGAAATTATAAAGCATTCCTTACAACAAAAGCAGAATAAGCAATCTTTTCATGTGTATGTAAATTGTTTCAGACATAAATCATATTTTGTGGCACAAACAAGTTTCAATAAGAAAGGATTCAAACCACCCTACGTATGTTCTCTGAGTAAAATGAAGCTAGACATCAATGAGTTAAAAAAAAGAGAGAGAGAGAGAGAAGTTCTTAAATATTTGGAAACTGAAGGACTTGTAAGAGACCTATGAGTCAGAAAAGAAATTACAACGCAAATTAGAAAACATCTTGAACTGAACATGAGAACGATATGCTAAAATCTATAGGTGCCACAGGGCAGTGCGTAGGAACCAATTTATAGCTTTAAAGTGAAATCCAACTCTTACGTAAAAAGACTAAATTCAATGAACTGCTTTCTTCGTAGAAAGCTACCCAACTCAGGAGAAAGATAATAAAGATCACAGTGGAGATGAACTAGGCCACAAAAATAATACAGAAAATCACTGAAATCTGTAAAGAAAATCAAAACCTGGCTGGATAAAATGACCACAAAAGCACAAGTGAATGCACACGTTATCAAAAACACAGACTGAAAAAATCATCACTATATAATCTACAGAAATTAGGTTTAAACTGTGAAATTTAATGCCAGCACATTTGAGAATGCTTATGGCTGAAATCTTTACCCACTTGCAAACTCCTGGCTCAGTTCACCCTATAGGTAAATTCCCTCAATCCCTTACAAGGAGAAAACCACGCCTACACAAACTCTCGGAAAACACAGAGGGAAAAACCACTTCTCCACACGCATGGTGTAAGACAGTCTGAATGGAAGACAGATGAAATTAAACTTTGGGCACTTTGGGATGCACGCATCCCACACCTGCTTTGAGTTCCTGCTCCTGTGTCCACATCAAAGGAAGCACGTGGTAGCTGGAGCACTTGGATCAGATTCCTACCACAAGTGGGAGACCCGGGCGGAGTTCTCTGCTTGTCCCAGCTGTTGTGTGCATCTGGAGAGGGAACCAGAGGATTGGACAGTCCTCCTCCCCTCTCCACTCTGTCACTCCGTCTTGCAGATGAATAAAAATATTTAAATAAACATTGTGGGGCCCAGCACGGTGGCGCAGTGGTTAAGGTCCTCGCTTTGCACGCTCGGGATCCCATATGGGCGCTGGTTCTAATCCCGGCAGCCCCGCTTCCCTTCCAGCTCCCTGCCTGTGGCCCGGGAAAGCAGTCGAGGACAGCCCAAAGCTTTGGGACCCTGCACCCGCGTGGGAGACCCGGAAGAGGCTCCTGGCTTCGGACCAGCATAGTATCAGCCATTGTGCTCAGTTGGGGAGTGAATCATCGGACGGAAGATCTTCCTCTCTGTCTCTCCTCTCTGTATATCCGCCTTTCAAATAAAAAAATAATAAAAATAAAATCTTTATTAAAAAAAAATTGTTTGTGAAGGGGAAAAAAAGGCATCAAACCAGAGGTGTTGTGCTAAGAATGCCATTAGCAACCTCAGCAGCTGCACCACAGCGAGAACCTATCATTGCATCACCAGAAAGTAGCAGTGAGATGGGATTTCTGAGGCGAAAAGGAGCAGTCATGGCATGGCAAGGTGTGGCTGGAGTCAGACATTGGTTAGACCTGTCAGGTGGTGTCAGGATGCGTTCTTCCTTGTTTGTACCTTCCTTGGATCTTGTTTCCCTTGAGACAGAGCCTGTGACTTAGCAGGGCTGCCAGAGCAGTGCTGGATACTTCTTCAAACAGAATAAACACCATTCTCCCAAAAAGACGCCAACCTATTACAAAATGTTACAAGATCAACCAGTGCCAATCCAACATGTGATATTACCTTGTAATGTTTTTTTGAAGATTTGTTTTTGTTTTAATTTTTATTGGAAAGTCAGATATACAGAGAGGAAGAGAGACAGAGAAGAAAATCTTCTGTCCACTGATTTCACTCCACAAATGACCACAATGGCCAGAGCTGAGCCAATCCAAAGTCAGGAGCCCAGAGCCTCTTCTGGGTCTTTCATGTGGGTGCAGGGTCCCAAGGCTTTGGGCCATCCTTTACTGCTTTTCCAGGCCACAAGCAGGGAGCTGGATGAGAAGCAGGGCTGCCAGGACATGAACCGGAGCCCAAACAGGATCCTGGTGCATGCAAGGAAAGGACTTAAGCGGCTAGGCTACCGCACCAGGCCCTTACCTTGAAATTCTTAAGACTAAATAATAACTTGGTATTTTATTGCCTGTCAATGATGCAAAATTAATTCATCAAGATGTTCTCTAAACAGTGATAGGAATGGCATGTCTGAGTTACTGAAGGAATTGTCCAAATGGACAGACTACGTGGAACTAGGTAGAGAAGAAAGACTGTGTATGTATTTATTGGGGGTGGGAGCAGGGCTCCCCAGAACAAACAGGGAAAACAGCTACAAGTGCCTACATAAAGT